TTTTTTTTTTTTTTTTTACTGTGAGTTACGAATAGTTTGGACAAGACTTGACTATTTGGAATATATATTGTCTGTTGAATAATACCTCATGTTGTACTCTTTCCCTTGGATCAAATAATGTGGTGGAGGAGCAATTCATCGTGTAAGGTCAGAAATTAAATGGGACATCTCTAATGGATTAATATCATTGTTGGATCCATGCATACCAAAGTATGCATATCATATCCAAAGACCATAATCGGCTACAATTTCCAGAATAATAGTTGGAGAGTTACTACGTCCTATATACTCACATGCTCAAGCCGTTGGACAATTTCTCCAATGCCAATGCATACAATCTCGACTACCTAACATTTCTACAAAGTCACGTTGCTTACCAATATAAAGAAGTCCTGCAATGTCATTAGCGTTGGGAGAACGTAGATATTGCTCTTCAAATATATCTATAATATCACGATAATATTTCTTCACGCATCCCCGGTGGACTCCCAAATATTTATGTATTCATGTATCGCATATGCTGGTACAAAACATATGATATTATCCTAAGCACAATAATTAACTTTTGATAGGTAGACAATCCGAGTCTACCAAATGCATCTCTTTGTTGCAAAAAAAATATTCATCGTGACTTTTAATTGCATTTGCTATATGAAAATATAAATTTCTAGACATCCGATAACGTCTACGAAACATGACTTCAATAAATTTTAGTTTTTCAGAAGAATAATCGTTAAAAAGACGATTTGTAGCTGCTTCTCGATCGCGTAATATCGTTTTTCGACCAAGAAGTGAACCTCAATGGCTTAGACCAACTTGTTAAGTTTTGAGAAATTCTTGTACAAGAATACTACTATTGTAAATTTGTTATGCTATTAAATATTGCTCCGTATTATAAATATTTAGTAGTTGTTCAATGCATAAGAAGAAAATGTATAAGAAGTACCAATGTAATTGGGATTCATATATAGAAAATGAAGAGTTAACGAATGAAAATATAGTGTGAAGAAACTTTGTACAAATAGTGATATAAAAATCCACAACTTTTAATCTAAGCCGTAAAATCTTGATTTTCGATCGTAGAATTGATATTGTAGATAAAAAATTCACAACTTTTAATCTGAGCCATAAAATCTTGTTTTTCAATCACAAAGTTGATATTATAGATACAAAAATCCACTACTTTTAATATAAGCCGTAAAATGTTGCGTTTCGATCATTTCGTTGATATTGTGGATAAGAAAATCCACTACTTTCAATCTGACCCGTAAAATTTTAATTTTGATCGTACCGTTGATATTGTAGATGGGAAAATCCACAACTTTTAATCTGAGCCGTAAAATTTAAATTCCTGTCACGAATATCAACCGTATGATTCTTATCAATGAAAATTAAATATACTATAAATACGCTACATGATAATGCAAATATTGTGCCAACAAATAATTTTAGCATTTTTTAATTTACGCTTTAAATCTATTTTCTTGTAGTAATTTCTCCTATGAGATCCAACTATAGTGTGAGTAAAGATCAACACATCTGCCGGTCTTATATGAAAATTTTTCAAGATCCATAGGTGGGTATATATCAAAGTAGAGATCAATTCTGTCTCCGTATAACGAACAAGTATAATTCTACAAAACCCAATCCATTGTGGCCTGGTCATCCATAAAGATAGATCCAATGTCGCATGGAAAGTATCAATACTGCTAGTAAACTTTTCAAATCTTGTGTGGAGCTAATTGAAAATGCAAACATCAATGGAGTTTCTGAACATGATGTGGTAAGAAATTTTACACTCATTATTTAATTATATCTATAAGAGCATTATTATTTTCTAATGACATTTATTTTTAACATTGTAGATGGAGCGTGCGAATATACTTATTCATCTTTCTTTTGACGAGGTCAAGGTAGGGAGCTAGTTTGGGCTCCTTGACCTCAACCTCCCGGAGATCTGCTTCACCAACAGCATGAAATCAGAATAGATGATCAGGTCGTTTAGGTTCATCGATTCTACTAGGGTCAACCCTAACAGGGATGATTCGTACTTGGCCTCATTATTAGTCGTAAGGAAAAAGTATCAACTCGAATGACAAAAAAGTCTTTTATGGGGATCGACAAGAACAACCCCTCCGTCTGTTGTTTTCACTAGAGGAGTCGTCGACGTACTTTACCCAAGGTTCACTGTCGTCAACTTTTTCAACCCCAGGAGTGAATTCTGCGAATGAAGTCGGAGAGCACTTTTCCTTTGATGGTCGTATTGGGTTAGAAGTGGATGTTGATGTGGCCCAGCTCAACGTCCCATTTCACCATCCGTCATGAGGTATCGGGACAATGAAGTATTTGCCTCAACAGAAAAGTAGTTAGGACAGTGACGTAATATTCCAAGAAATAAGGCCGCAACTTCTGATTTGTCATGGCCAGTGCAAAAAAACTAGGCCTTTCCATTGGCAGATAGCGCAGCTCAACATTTTGTATGGTCTTACTCACATAGTAGTCTGGGTATTGTCACAAAGCTTTTTCTCATATTAAGGTTGTGTTTATGGATACATTCGAGACTCTTAAGAATAAATAGAGCATCCTTTCGGGTTTTGGATTTTCATGATGGGAGCTCGGCTGAGAATGGATTTAATGCTTTCCAGTGCTTCTTGGCACTTGCTGGTCCATTCGAACAGTTTGTTTTTTCTTGAGTGCCTCAAAGAAAGGCTTTGACCAATCTGTAGATTTAGAAATGAATCGACTCAAGGCAGCAAGCTTCCATGTTTAGGCTTTGGACCCCCTTGATTGAACACGGGGGTTTGAGGTCCTTCTCAATATTTTCCTCGATCCTCCGCTGGCTCACAATGTATCCTAAGAATTTTCCTGAGCTTACTCTAAATGTATATTTCTTTGAATTTAAGACCATCTTCGAGTAATCGTGCAAAACGGAAAACATCCTATTAAGATCTGGTACAGGATTACTCGCATACACAGATTTAATCAGCATATCATCGACATATACCTCCATTGTATCACCTATCAAACTAGATAACATTTATTGACAAGCCTCTAATAGATGGCCCCTGCATTTTTTAACCCATGTAACACCATTTTATAATAGTACAGTCCTCAGGCTGAATATAATAAAGTGTCCTCCTCATCACCGGGGTACATGAGGATCCGATTATACTCTGAATATGCATCATGAAACTCATAAGCTCGTGTCCAGAGGTAGAATCCACTATATAATCAATATATACGACAGAGTGTAGTTGTCCTTCGGGCAGGCTTTGTTCAGGTCAAAAAAATCGTTGCA